CAGACTAAGTTCACTGGCCTATTGCAGGATGACCTTAAGGAACAGTTGTTCCTTCCTGAGGTGATCCTCCTTCAGGGAGCTGCGACATGCTCTTCCTCAGAGCTCTGCAGCTCTGTTGGACACAATCTTGGGGGAGAGGGTTTGGGGGGCTGAAATCTCTGGCCTCTGACACCTTTGGGGCGTCTGCCAGGAAGCCTACAGAGACATGCACACTCAGGTTATGGCGGCCACGGGCTGCTGGTGAGCCCTGTTGGACCAGGTACCTCAAGTCTGGGAAATATCCACATCCAGCATCACTGCCCATGCTAGCGCTGGGTCTTCAGGACACCTTCTCTGGGCTGCACTGGAGGAGGGCTGCATGGGAGAATGGGGCTGGGTGGAGATCCCACCTCCTCATCCAACTCTGAAGAAAGAGGCGTAGAGGGTGCAGGCAGGCAACGGTCGGCCTGGTATGAGTAATGAGGGGAGATCTGCACTTTCTCCCATGACTCGAACACATAGAGCCTGAGGGGGATGACAGCCTGTGTTCCTGGCAGGGAATACCAGGTTTGCGGATGCTGAACCTACATGTGTAGCACATTCCCTCTGCACAAATGCCCAGGAGGATGTATCTTACAGCTTCTGAGATGTACCTCTGTCTTTCATTACAGGGGTCCTGCTTTGTTTACTTGATGGAATAAACATTTAATTTTTAATTGTTTCATTATACTCTATTCCATCTTTATGGCCATTCTTGTTACTGATGTCACATCTCTCTCCCTTCTAGCCCTGCTCCTACTTTCTGCTCATTTATCACTTCCCAGCTCCAACTCTGCAGCCTCTGTCACCACTGTGGTCAGCAGTGGTCAACCATCCTTCTGAGTGCCTCTTTCCTGTCCTGATTCATGGCAGCTCAGGGAAGCCATTTGGACATCAAGTCTCCCTGGCACATCCATTCTGGTGTGTTAGTGCCTGGTGGCAGCTGTCTCACTCCAATTTATAGGAGGGGGAGGAGGTTCTTTTAATATATGTATACCCAACGTTGAGATTAAGAGATAACAGGTCAAATGTTAGCCCAACCAGTTTATTATAAATCCCAGCTGCTTAGAGAGATGGGGAAGGGAAGCCGGTTGATAGAAAAGAGATAGGAAATAAAAGCAAGGAGTCCTTGTAGAAAGCAAGAGTCACCACCACGGATCTAATGTTGTTCATAGTACAGATGCTGATCTGTGATCTGATGCTATGATCAGTTGTGATGGGTCATCAGAGGTTGTTGTTTGATTGAAGACGACAACTTCGTGCAATGACTGTTCAAACTCGGAAGGAACTCCTTTTGTTCCCATCTTCTGGGCCTTGCCAGCAGATAAGAGGGAGCAGGGAGGTGCCCACTTGTATCTTGCCTTCACAGGATACAATGGTATCATCCCCCAGTCTCCCATACCAAGCTGGAGTTATTTGGTCACAGGCCAGATTTTCCACCAGTAAACACTCTGAGCACTCCCTTCTGAAGGCAAACAGCTCCAAAGAAATGGTTTCAAATGTAGAACTGTACCACAAAGGGATGCTGACTGCCACACTGAGTGAACTCTGGTGCAAAAGTGCTGGGGCGTGGGCTGAGGCTGTTGTTGATGTTCTCATCTTCTTGGGTAAGAGTATCATTTTGTTTCTTCCCTTGACGCTGCATTTCCAGTTTGATCTTGTCCAATCAAGGCAGCGTCAGTGTTAGCTTGTCCCGGTGCTGTCTCTTCTTTCTCTTTCATTCTGTAAGAATGGATTTCAGAAAATACTACTGATCATGTGGGAATTAAGAAGCCAGTTTAAAAAATCTTACAACAATAGTTCAGCAGAGTACTGCCAACAGCTGACTTGGCCATGTAGGATACCGTAACTTCAGGGGTTTCATTGCCAATTGAAGCAATGAGGACTTATGGGGAAAAGCCAACTTACAGCTCTTTGCTCTTCTGATACAATTTGCCAATTAAAAATGTCAGACGCAAAGACAGCAGCACCATCGGGACCACTGAAGACATTGTAATATACAACCGCAGACGTTTGTTATTGCCTGCCTTTGTGTTCTTCTGAGAGTCCACCTCTAGAGGAGAAGAGAAAATTCAACTCAATATCGTGTTCTGTGCTACAGATAATCTATCAGTCTGCTTCACATGTCCAAAAGATCTCATGCAGTAGTGTGTCTTAGCAACAAAGGACAAGAAGGATCACAATGGGAGGCTCACCGATCTGTTCCTCCAGACTATGGGCTAGAGCTGGGTGTTGAGAGTCCAGTCTTCATCCAAGGGGGGAAGAGCTGGAGCAGAAATGCTTGTGCTCTCCAAAGAGCACATCTCCTGAGCACCCTCTAAGGATGCCTCCCAGGGTGGAAGCTAGACTCCAACCTGGCAGCAGCAGAGGGAAGGCTGACCCCAGCGCAGCACAGCTTGGGTCATAGCCCTTAAGTTGACCAGTTCTAAAAGGGGAGCATTCCTAATGTGTTCCCAAGACCTGGGAACTGGGTACAGTGGGGAGTTGAAAATGTCTAAGCACTCCATGGATGTCTACAAGCATCTCTTTAGCTCACTGGTGGCACTGATCTCCACAACAGCCATACTCATGAGCCATTCCTGCCTTCTTCTACAGCACTTGCTCTGTACTGATACATTCCGGTTTAGATGGTGACATGAGGGCTGACTGGGGCCAGGGCCAAGTGAGTCACAGTCATTCTGATTTGTGAGACTGGGTGGCCAGGGAACAGCACTTACCTGGCATGCTAGTTGCATGCATTGCCTTTCTGTTTACATCAGAAACTGGCAGCATGTGACGGCTTCCTTCCTGCTGCATAGTTTTTGCGGGTTGGTCTTTAGAAAGAAAGCATGAGAGTTGGATTATAAGTATCTGTTCCTCATCAGGAGGATGCTATCTTCAGGAGGCAGGTCTTCCACAAATACATCAATAAAATTTAAGAAAAAAAGATTTGGGACTCACCAAAGTCTACCTGCATCAGTTTCTTCACAGTTTTCTCTGAGACTTTAGATGTCTTTTGGGACTTTTTTCCTCTTCTAGGTGTATAACGTGCTCTCTGAGTACCTTAACATAAAGTATGAAGTTAAAGTTTGCATGAAAAAAATATAGAAAAGTAGTGCTTATTCTGTTAAGTCAGTAAAGATTGACTGCCTACCTCTTGGATGCCAGCTTGGATCCAGCACAGGAGGCTGCGGAAGAGCTGGAAGAGCCTTCCTTGAGGGCATATCTGTAACCAAATATGAAAACATAAGAAGTTCTCATCACATACTGTGATTGACATCAGCATAACTGAATTGCAGAGCATATCAGAGATCGTGCAGTGACAGGACACACACATGCAGGATGCAATTTTCAAACCTGCAGAGATGCCTGTCTTGCATTTGGCCTGAAAGCTCTCAAAGGAAGTAAGAAACCACATACCCATGTGATCTCCTGGATGTTCAGCTCTGGAATGCAGCTGGAAAGCTGGATAACCATCACCTACTGCCACATCTTTAAACAAATACAGGACAGAGAATTTCCAGTGAACTATATCAGTAGAATTCTTCTTATCAAAATAACAGTTAATGCAGTTCAAGCACAAGATTTTTCTACAGTGTTTGTCTCTCTCTTCTACTGATGAGCATCTTCCAAAGAGTTACATGCACTAGCAATGTACTGGTACAAAACTAATCATGTGGGATGCCAGGAGCTTCGTGGAGTTCACACCAGGTTCAAATGCAACCTCAGTATGCCAACTGTTTTTTTAGCATGTGTTGGAAGCGGCAAAGTACTGCAGTGGCTAGCAAGGACATTTTCATAAAGCGCTTGGCAAATCACCAAGCTTAACCTGTTCTTAGTCTGCTCTTTTCCATGTCTGTACATTGGCCAAGGAAAGGTGAAGTTACATTTCACATGAAAGGAACACTGAAATGCTCATTTCTTCAAGCAGCTTACCTTCAGAATCACCCTGAGGCTTGCGGGGAGGATTAGGCCACAGAACTCTGTACTCATCACCAACAAGTACAGCTGTAATCAAGCACAAGAGAGAAATGTTCCCAATGTATGTTGTGATCTCCTTCATCCTTAGTGACCTGTCATGATGTGGCTGGGTAATGACAGGGGGTGCAGATGTGGGTCTGTAAAGTCAATAAAGATTGACTACCTACCTCTGGGATGCCAGCTCGGATCAAATGCAGGAGGCCGTGGAAGGGCTGGTAAAGCCCTCTCTGGGGGCACATCTGTAACCAAACATGAGAACATGAGAACCTATAATCCAGCACAAAGGAGAAATATCCCCACAATATATATATTGTGATCTCCTTCATCCTTAGTAACCTGTTATGAGTTGGCCAGGTAATAACAGGAAATGTGGATGTGGATGAAGATTTCCAGATCTGCAGAGCGGCCTGGTGGCTTGTACATGGCATCTTTCAGAAAACTCTTGCAGGCCCTGTGCAACAGCCCTTGAGGACTGGATGGGCATCCAGCCCTTGTACCATTCGCACAGGGAAGTAACGTACACAAAGCAAGGCCAAGTTAGAGCAATAGAAAATAAAACAATCAACCATGCTTCTTGTGGGGAAGACTTGCACCTGGGCAGTGAGAAACTGCTCCAAAGCTACCCCTGGCTGTTCCTCAGGCCTGCAGCAGGGCCTTCATATGGAGGGCCTGGGCTTCATCCACAGAGAGCACCGCAGTGCAACAGGCACAGCCCTGTGCTGCCCATCGATGCTGGCCTCATCTCTACTCACTCACCTGCTCTCAATTTTTGCCATGGAGCAGCCTGCATGCCAGAGGCCTGCAGGGCCATGAGAAAGAGAAGGAGGAGGAGGTGTCCTGGGACCATGGTCACCCACACACATGCAACACTGCTACCACCACTGCAGCAGCCACTGCAAATGCCAGAACAGTCCTATGCAGGGGCACAGGCTCAGTGTGGTCCTTTGTGACCTCACACAGCCTCAGTCATCAGAACATGGTGACCTCACAAAGTGTTTGAAGGCACAGACTCAGATGCGTGAAGGAGGATTGGGGAGGCCCAAAATGTCTGTCTGCTCAAACGGTATGTCTGATTGTGATTCAAAAGAATTGATACAAAGCCTTACATAATCTTTCTTGTGGTGTGTCTCCCATACTCCCCTTTTTGTTTATTAAGAGTACATTTCAGTGTTTGATGGGCATACTCAATGATAGCTTGTGCAATGGCAGAATGGGGAATGCTTGCACCATGGGTGACTCCCCATTCTTGAAGGAAAATTTGAGTGGACTTAGAAGTATATGCAGGTCCATTATCTGTTTTTATAGTACGTGGGGTTAACTTCTCTAGACTCCAGGAGTCTGGCATGTCATGCAGCCCACACAGAACAACGTGAAAATCTGTTGGCAAGAATCAAGGAGAAATTCCTGGATCTGTGTTAAAAACCATCTTTGATTCTTTTTTTTCTCTTAAGAAACTGATTCCTCCTCCTCTTCCATCTCCTCTCCATAATCTTGAAGATTTAGCTGTAATTCCGTTTGCTTGATAGCAGCCTTGTTGTCCATCCGCCCGAGAATCAGGATTTTGTCCCAAACCGCTCTGTCAATCAGTTACTGGAAAATCGGGGACATTTTTTCTTGTCCAGTAAAGAAAGGTGACTAATGCTATGGCAGATACAAATCTGAGATTTTAAAGTTTTCTGTAATACTTCAAGATTTACTTGTTGCTCCTTCATTAGTGAATTCCCATGGTTCCCAACTGCTCACTTTCTGCCCTGAGGAACAGTGATCCTCCAGTGGTTCACTCAGCCTCTGCATGTTTTTGCACCACACAGTGGGTGCCATTTGCAGCCAAAGACGCAGATGTGTGAACTATCCAGATCCTTTATTGTGGGTTCTAACATCCCTTATATACACCTCAGGCTTCATCCCGTAACTTTCCACCCCCCTACGTGTCAACAGAACACTTAACAAGTCTTTTTCACATAACTGCCCCTGCAGGTGCTTATCCAATCAGAGCCACAAGTTGCTTCTTCTATTCACATGCTTCTCCTCCCATCAGGGTCATCATCAGCTGGGGATTACGCACCCCGCTTCTGCTCTTGTCTCCTAGAGAGAGCCTTTGTTCTCACCATTCTCTTCCACACCCTGTCAGACTTGTTTTTCAACCTCTATTCTGAACGTTGTCTTTAATCCCCACAGCCTCATGGTTCCTCATATCAGAAGACGGTGACCTTAGGTTTCTACACACCCTCACAGAGGGGCTTTGTGAGCTCACAACCCTCTGCTGCTAAACAGGGGCTTCCCGCAGTCTGCACCTCTCACGCTACGCCGCACCGGGGCTGCATGGGGCCAGAGGTCGTGGCACCACGTCCCAGGCAAGTGCAGGGTCGTTTGGGGAGATCCGCAGCAGTGCACTCCCAGGAAGCTGACAAAAAAGGTCTGTTAGGCTCTAGTTTCATTGTTGGGTAACAGGGAGTGAGGAGCTTGCTCTCCATTTGCCCTGTGTGATGATGTTAAATATTGTTAAATTCTTTTAACTAAGCTGAATATCTGTAGTGTAGTCATCAGGAAAGTCTCTTTGTTTCTAATTCTCAAAATGAATCAGATAGAACTAGAAAAATGGATGGATCACCTACCTTTTTTGGAAGTCTTTGATGTATTTCCTGCTAAATACCCCTTTATTATTTATCTCATTTCTGGACATAGCTAGTTAAGAAGGAAATGAACGGAAGCAAAGATGTCCTGCTTTCAGGATTGATCCAAGAGTAACAAATGAAGAAGTTAATGTACAAGTAGGTGAGATGTGACATGTTTCCATAGGTTCTACCTGTTCTGCTACAGACTGTGTTTTCATTTCCTTGTCCATAAAACATAGTTAGAAAGAATGTTTCTCTGTCCCTTTAAAATGCACAATAATGTCTTAGAGGAAAAAGTTCTTGATGTGTGTATGAACTACGTATGCCAGTTCTGATCTCAGGTGTGAGCACTGACAGAGCACAGATAAATTATCTAGCAAGAACTTAGATTAGGATTTTGAGTACTAGAGGTCAGCCATTTGCATTTTCTTCTTCGCAGTATCACAGTGGCTCTCTCTAGCTCAGAACCAAGCTGGATCCTCTTAAAAGCCTATGACATCATAACAGGATTTACTGTATGCAGATCTACCACTTATAATCAAATTATCATTTCCTCTATCAGTTTGGTAGTGTTATTAAGTGACACTTATAAGTAATCTTGATGATTAAATGAGCTGTTCTTCACAACAAGCACGTAATTTTCTGATTTCCATGAAGAATGCAAATCAAGACATAATGACAGAAGTTCTGTACTTGGCACATTTATGGCAGGTGTAGTAAGATTGGTTCAGAGTTTTGCTTCCTTCTTTACCCACTTTTTAAATGTTTCCATAACTCGTAGCATATTTTCTCCAGCCTACTTATTTGATTGTGAAGAATTATTTTGCTACCAAAGGCACTCCTGACAATCATTATGAACAATTATATTCTTTAATAGAATAGGAAAAAGCAAGTTGAATATGCTGATTCAATTACTCCTTCTGATTTCTTTCAAACTTTTCAGCCATCATTGTGATATCAGGTGGTATCTCATTTTAAAAAAATTGTAATGCAAGTGGAAGCATTATTCTTTTCACTTAGTCATCACGCCAAAATGTTATTCATATTATGTCTAAAAGCTGTTCACAGCAAAGAAAGTCTATCTTGTTACCTTTGTTCAATATTTGATTGAAGATACTAAGAAAACATGGCTAGTCTTTGTTATTATGTTATCTTTAATTAATCACTATATGACTAATTTTCATTGAAAACAGAATATATTGCCTTGTTACCCACTTAATTATAATTATATATTGAAATGACAAGACAGTGTATGAAATTTTTCAGGTATGTAATTGTTTTCCTTTGATGCACAAATGTTGCATTTTACTTTCTGAAAAAAAAAAAAAAAAAGAGCTTTAGCTGCTGCAGTAATGGATTCTATTTATTAGTTTGGCAGGTAAGATGTATATTATGTGTATAGTATTCTATTATGTATATAGTAGAAACATTCGTCTGTAGGTAACAATATTCATATCTTCACTTATATATATTTTATGGCCTTTGGGTATTTCTGTTTTGTAGATGTTTATACTGGTTTTTGTTGTTGTTGTTGTTAGAAAAGCTAGAATTTCTGTTTTTAAAAAAGGAAGTTATATCAAACTCTCAGTCATATTAGAGAATGGATTCCTGTCACATAAAGTATATATATAAAGTATATATAGACAAATGCTAGGAAACTGTACTAGGTTTTCAAAACCCTAAATTGTAAATGTTCCTGCTTGTAACGATAATATTTGCAACATTCATAAACTCAAGTATTATTCTATCATTCAGTATTTATATTGAAATAATATTTTCAGGCTCATTTGAGTTACTTTCTAATTCCTTCCCTCCCATCCTTTAAAAAGGACACTGGAACATGTGGAGTACTATTCTGGCCCTGTGTGTACTAGCAGGAGTTTGATTTCATTCCCTGCCAATAATATTCTTCTTTTACATCACATAATCCTAAATTATCTAATAATCTGTATACTTTTATTTGTGCGTAACAGTATGTTTCTTTTCCTGTTGCTTACTCAACCCATGTTTTTTTCCTATTATGTAAACACAGTCAGTAACATATTTCAACATAAGCTTTTGGAAATCTCCAGAAATGATGAAAGAAATTTCCAAAACAATAAATGTTGGCACACTCACCAAAGAAAACTTCTATCAACTTTGTGAGTTCAGAACTATTCAGTTTCTGGCATCATCAGTTCTTTTAAAACTGAAGAAATATATGTATTCTGTTCTGTTGGCTGGGAACATACTATTATTGTTCAGATGTCTACAGTATGTTACTTGTTCATTTTGTTACTCAAATTCAATTTTAGATTATGTTTAAAATTATCAGCTCTGTTCTTGGTATCAACTGCCAAGCGCATGATATTCTGGAAAGCCAAAACTGCTAAGCCTCTCATGAAAATTTTTGTTCTAAATATTATCCCTAATTTTAGTACCGTTAACATTGTCATCTTGCACTATACAGGGGTATATACAGCGCAACCTGAAAGTAATGTATGTGCAAAGGGTTTTCCCTCCTACAGTCTTCTATTTCAAATGCTTCATGAAATCAGAAGGTATATAAAAGTTATTCTAAGCTGGTAGCCCACCTACAGCATGTCACTGTGGATTGCCAAAAAGTGCTGTTAAAAAATAGATTAAAGAGGGTGAAGAAGATTGGCGTCATTATTTCATTTGTTGTGATGGAATTTGCAAACTATTCAGCTTTAAAAGTCAGTGAAAAGCAAAAGAGAGAAATAATGTAGTGTATCAACCCACAGCTTCACCAAAGTAATTTCATGAGTTAGAATTCTGCCAAGTGCCAGATGGTCAGTGACTTATCTGGGGGCTTAGATAATTTATTGAAAATCACATCCTTCTTTTTTTTTTTTTTCCTAGCAAAATTCTGTTTGTCAACAATTTGAGGTCTTTCTGTCTTCCTATGCAGTCAGCAAGTAAATGAGGAGATTTTACAGTGTTTTTGGCTGCTTTGTCCAGTACTTGGGCAGGAATTAATAGGGTAATTTGAACTTGGTGATGGCAAGACAAGATATATTCATTCACAATGACTTCCCAGTTCTGAAGCATTAGGAGAACGCTACCTGAGAGTAAGGAAAAGAGTTGAGCCCAGCTGGTACAACATTTGATAGCATATTATTCAGCAAACATTGGCAAGACTAGAAGTTCTCAGTTAATTGAGAAAACATGCTTCTGCACAAGGGTAATTATCCAAACAGTGGTGCAGGTGACCGTGTAAGGAATGGAGAGAACAAAGAGGCTCTGTATGACAGCTAATCTTTCTTCTACCACCCTTCCAGCTTCACCTTTTTTTAATTATTCCTGTTGCTGGAAAAGTTTGGGTTTCTTTATTCCTAAGAAGCGTAATCCCAGCGCTCTTACTGCCACAGATCCTAGAGGTGTAATGTGTAGTAAAAGGTGGAAATTCAAAACACTTAAGTACTAACACTGGAACTAAAAGTCCTGG